TTATTGTCCATCTTGGTTTAATTATGTCAGCTATTTGCAATCTATACTAGGGTCATTGCGTGGATATATATTGTTTCTTGTGGTTTTTTCCGACTAGGGTCACAAGATGAGTTTCACCCAGAACCCAATGATGAATCCCATCTTGGTAGGTAATAAGCCAATGTGCAACCTAGTTTGCTTCCTGGAAATAGGTGAGATGATGAGTACACTCTTTATGCCATAGGCCACGGTCTACATTATAATTAAGGTGAATCACTTGTAAGATTTTTCCTAACTCAAAAGTAAGAAAGAGACCTCCACAGAAAGTACTCTATTTTTATAAAGAGTGTATGAGTATATATATAGTAATGCACGAGATTGCATATGAGTATGTTTATAGTATTGCACGAGATTGCATATGAGTATGTTTATAGTATTGCACGAGATTGCATATGAGTATGTTTATAGTATTGCACGAGATTGCATGAGTATGATTATAGTATTGCACGAGATTGCATATGAGTATGTTTATAGTATTGCACGAGATTGCATATGAGTATGTTTATAGTATTGCACGAGATTGCATGAGTATGATTATAGTATTGCACGAGATTGCATATGAGTATGTTTATAGTATTGCACGAGATTGCATATGAGTATGTTTTTAGTATTGCACGAGATTGCATATGAATATAGAACTGCACGAGATTGCATATGAGTATGATTATAGTATTGCACGAGATTGCATTTGAGTAGAGTATCGCGTGAGATTACATAATGAGAATGTTGATTTAAGATTGTTCATCAAGCATGATTGATTAGTTACTTTGGAAGTCTTGTATATCAAGTTTATGTGATGAGAATTTGAGAGCATGAGGATACCTGTTATATGGTTTATTAGCGTGATCCTACCTATAAGCATGAGTTGCTTGTTAAGTTAATTGAGAAGTTATATGTTGAAGTATCTAAGTGTTCAGTCTTACATATAAGCATGTCAGTTGATATTATAGGTTGCAAGCATCTAAAAAGTATATGATAGATCTAGAGATGTATATGAGATGAGTTTGTTGTATACAAGTGAAATCAAATGTTTTCAAAGTATATTCTATAGTGCTTTACAGGGTTGAGTGTGGTTATACTTAGCTTCGTGCTAACAGGTGTTTTCCTATTTGTCTATGTGTTGCTTGCAAAACCCCTTTCAGGTGGGCCCAGCAGTGAGAAGTGATCGAGTTAGATTAATCTCGTAGTTTGAGATGTCTAAACTCTAGTTATGTTGATGACTTTGTTTACGGATTTTAGACTCCTGATTGTTATTATGGTTTTGATGATGATGTAGACTTTTGGGGTGACTTTTTCCCCCTTATGTTTTTCAGTATTTATTTTGGGAGTTAGATATTTATTTTATTTCTAGTTTTACCCCTTAGCCTGTGCAATCACCACGGAGTGGTGGTTGTGGCGGTGACATTCCCACTAGTTATCTTTTTAGTTATTATTTTCGCTGCTTAGTTTATGTTAATGACTAATTAGAGTTGTGATTAAGAGATAGAAAAGTGGGGTGTTATAGAGGCAAACAATGGCTAACGGTCTACCGTTAAGAGGCAACACAACAGGAACATCAACTGTGGCCGGAGATCAACACTGTTAAACTTCCGCTACTACGAGGTTAGGCTTCTCGTATATTATTGTTTAGTAAACGTTAGATTATTTATATCTAACATTTAGTATCACAGCCTTTATAATCTCTGCCTGGTTGGTTGTTTTGCCCAAACAATATTAAGAAAAATTTTCATATACATCAAGTTTTTGTATATGCTTTGGTATTCAATTACATTCCTTTAATTCTTCAAAATATGCAAATATAATTGTATCTTTTTTTTTTTTTTTTGAAATAATTGTATCTATATTTAGTTTTGATATTATTGAGTATTTTTAGCATGCATATTTTTAATGAATTAAATTGTAATTGAATTTTTGAATTGCTAAAATTGAATTCGAGCATGAATCGAGGATTATATATAGTTTCTTTGAATTTTTAACGACTGCCCTAGTTTATTAGCTCGACGTTAATTTTGGGACGTTGGTTGTTGTCAACGCCGTTGCCAGCGGTCACCATAGATGGCTGGAGTAACGACGGAAGTTAGATTAAAAAAAAAAATATATATATATATATATCTTCGTTGTTCTCCATTCGGACGAGCCACCACTACAGCGTCGGTTCTACTAGTGACGACGAAGGGCCGTTGGCGACGAGTGAACGATGCAAAGGATCGTCATCCGGCGAAGGCGTCGCGAACTGGGGCGATCAGCGGCTATGACTAGCGTAGCGGAGAGATGCGGCGGAGGCGAAGCTGGGTTCCCCGGCGACGTCGCTACTCCATTCCCTCCTTCAGGCGACGTCGACAACATTGAGTTGCTGCTGCTTGTGTTTCACGATGTCACGTTCAAGGATACCCGCGGTGAACATGGTGTCGCAACGAGGAGAGATGGCGGAGGCATGCTGATTTTCCGGTGTCGTCGCTTTCCTCTTCCCTCCTTTAAGCGGCACTGGTTCACTTGTGATGGGCGGCGCTGTTGATTCTCATGGCTGCTAAGGCTGCTTCTGGCTGATTAATGTGAACAAGATGATGATGGACTTAAAGTTATATATATATATATATATATATATATATATATATATATATATATGAGAATCACTTATCATCAGTTATGCATAATTTTGATGGGAATAATGATGATATCAATAATGTTGATGGAAGTTATCAAACACTTCATGTACCCTCCTTTACTCTGGTTATAATTAAAGGCATCAAAGGATGTATGTCTAAAGATGGAGAAAAATACAATTATTTTTCATCAGTTGCCTACAAAATTCTGACATATCAGTTATGCATAATTTTGATGGGAATAATAATGATATCAATAATGTTGATGGAAGTTATCAAACACTTCATGTAACTTCCTTCTTTAGCCTGGTTATAAAGAAGGCAAATGATGTATGTCTAAAGATGGAGAGAACTACAATTATTTTTCATTAGTTGCCAACAAAATTCTTGGCTACACTACTTGGTAGGGAATACCCCGACCGACATAAGCGTTACCCCGACCGGTTGGCCTGCGTCCTTTTTTTCTTGTCTTTGCAGGTAACAGGTCGGGTTTCTTGTGAAGAACCCGGTCGGGATCCGACCGGGTGTTACCCGAGCGGCAGTGTCGACCACCGAGCGGTAGCCCTTAAGCGAGAGAGCTGACGAGGAACACGTGGCGGCTCCACGCATTGACAGGCAGGGCACCCGGGACATTGACACGTGGTTGCTACGTGGGAAGCATGCCGAACGGCCGGATTTGTGTCTCCGGCTCCGCGGCTATAAATACCCGCGATAGCGACAGTGTGAGGGACTTTTGGACGATCGATAGGTTGTTAGAAAATCCCGACCACAGTCAGTCGGTACTCAGAGCAACCAAGTAGATTGTACTTAGGGCCTTCATTGATCAATAAGAGTTATTTACTTGCTTTAATTGGTCTCTTATTTAGTTAATTACCGCATTACGTGGCAATTAACACTATCACTACTGTATAGGAGAGAATTTGACAGACAAAAATCCAAGTTACATGTTTGGTGAATTTCACAAAAAAACTTGTGAAATTTGGTATATGAGAGAATGTATTATACTTTTGATTTTTTTATAAATATATTAAAAACCCAATTACACTTATTCTAAGTTTGAGTATCTTTTGTTTTTTAACCATCAGAAACTTCAATAGATTAAACCAGAACCAACCTCGAGATACAACTCGGACAATAGTTATGTTGTGCATCCGTATGCACCATGCATGGTGCATACGGATGCCAAAACGACGTCGTTTTATTAAAAAAACGCGCGTCTCCCTCTTTAAAAAAAATCCAGGTTCGATTCCCAGCAACAACATTATATTGTTCATTTATTCTGGAATTTTAGTTCATAGATTATGGAATTATAGTTCATTGATTATGGAATTATAGTTCATCAATTCTGGAATTGTAGTTCATCGATTCTGAAATTTTAGTTCATAGATTATGGAATTTTAGTTCATTCATTCTGGAATTTTTAGTTCGTAGATTAGATTCTGGAATTATAGTTCATCGATTATGGAATTATAGTTCATCGATTCTGGAATTTTAGTTCATATGTTGTTGCTGGGAATCGAACCTGATTTTTTTTAAGAAGAGACACGCATTTTATTAAAACGACGTCGTTTTTGCATCCGTATGCACCATGCATGGTGCATACGGATGCACAGCATAATATGCCCAACTCGGAGGAACAAAGTCATAAAGACCAAGGATAGACATAGAAACTGTTGCCTGTGCAAGTACATGGGCTACATAATTCGCTGACCTTCAAACATGGCGAATAATAACATCACCAATGTCCATCACCAAGTTTGATTATCTATTTAAAACATTTTGTAATTTAGGAGGTTAATTACATTTTTTTTCAAATATTCTGAGAATATATTTGACTTTTATTTTTGAGTGACAAAGAAAACTGGCAACCACTTCCCACGTCTTTGACCTTTATCATGATAGAAACATCTTTCTTTGCAAAATTAAACAACCCAAAGATTGATGCATAACACTAGTTTCTCTAACCATGCAAATAAATGCCTATTAATCTTTTTCTGTATATTTCGCTTCGGTTGTTGAATCTCGTGCAAATTTGGTTTTGGTTGTATTGGCTGCAAGCGGAACGTAGGCGCTTTAGGTGTGTGTTGACCAAAGGACCAAAGTGAAATTATTACAGAACATAAGCGGATACAAATAGAATATGATTGTTTCCACTCATCTAATTATCGATATTCAACTCTACATCCTTTATGCCACTACTAAACAACCAAACTTCAAAATGGAGTGAAGATATATATATATATATATATATATATATATATATATATAACTCTTCCTCTTTTATGCCACTACTAAACAATCAAACTTCAAAATGGAGAGAATAAAGGGTGTTTATATTGGTTAGCTTGCTGTTATATCTTTTTTTTTTTTTCTTTTTTTCCTTGTGTGGCCTTACCGTGATACCGCCTACAGGGAGTTTCCTGAGACTTGCTAAAACTTCGCTTCAGCGTTGCAGTATTTGACTGATTAGCGTTTCTGGTAATTGTTTCTTTGCCTACAAACACAGTTCGTAAGATTAGTGTCGGAAACTCTGCAAGCTCCCATGTTTTCAGAGGTTATTCAAAAGACATTGGCATATTAATGGTGTTCTTAAGTACTAATCACAAACTTGGATTGGGAACTCTTGTGACAAAAGGTGGAATCGCCCACCCCACACCCCGGCCCGACATTTTGTGGAGGGATAAATCATGGTGACTCAACTGATCAACAAAGACTAGATTTTTGGTCACTGCGCACAAGGAGCCCCCTTCAATTTGAGAGGTTGCTCACAGACTGCAGCTAGTGAGACTCGATCCTTGGTCTATTGGATTGGGAACTCTAGTTAAGGCAATGATGGTGCTAACTGCTAAAAGCTCCACATTTGTTAATATATATAAATGATAACGATGTTGAAGTTACCTGAAAATGTCTCATGTGCAGAATTGGCTCACAACCAACATCTGCGATCAATCTCCCGTTTGGTGTTAGCACACTGAATCGCCTAGCCTCGTATGCTGAAAGATTATCTTTGCCACTTGGCAGGCTTTGGGAAACTTTAAGGAGCGAGCTCAGAGAATTCATCTGTCATGAGAAAACGAGGAATAGAGAAAATACTAAGATAATGAGCTAGCATAAGCAGAAATGACAAAACTAGAGAAATTATCAAAAAAAACTAATAATGCATGTGAAAGAAAACATGCAAAGTTTAAACACACGCATTATTTGGAGATTAGAAAATGAAAGTATAATAATTGAGCTGAAAGTAAAAATTGGTGTGCAAATGGGAGAAGAGGGATTGTTCGAGATCATTAATAATGTGGGTTTGGTGACAACAGAGAGAGAGAGCTAAAGAAAGAAATACGCTAACCTTCATATAAGGACAAGATGCACAGCCACCATGAAGAGAACACCCCTCTCCACTCGCAACTCCAGGTATAACAGGGACCTTTAAGAAATCACCCATGTCACCTAAAGAGAGGTCCTGAGATGAAATCTTTGGCGTTTTTGTCACTGACTCAGATGATACAGGGAAGACAATCTCGACACTAACTTTTGCTCCTCTGTCGGTAGAGTTCACGGAGCCTAATAATTTGCGAACTGCTGCAACTATTGAAGTAATCATTCCAGATTCTGTTCCTAAAACAAACTGAAGATGCTCATCGATGTTTCTATCCATTGCCTCTTGTACCCTTTGTGTTATAAAATCTAATATGTTCTGGGTAGACCCAACTACTCCCATCCCTCTCTGTTTAGCTTCCATTGCTAGTGAAAACATTTCACCAGGAACTTCAAAGTGGGCAGTGAGGAATGCATCACAATACATTTCCTTTATCTTCTCCACAACTTCATGACCAAAGAGGTGATGCACAATACATGTTCCATCCTGGTACACCCAAAATATAAATACAAGAATTGAAGGATATTGATTGACCAAATACGGCTAGTACAAAAGATGAAGAATCATCCATCATCCATATTATTAATTCCTTGATTTTAGTCCTTTTGTTGCTTTTACCTGTTAATTGGATTATAAAACAACTATATATCTTTTTAACTCTTGACTTATAAAGTAACCTATCCGTAGTATCTGCTCAACATGATTATGCCAACATCCTTGATTGGAATGGGACTCGAACCTATGACCTTCCGTTTAGAATGGTAACAGTGATGCCATCAGACCACAAGGTACTTGGCAATAGTGTAAAAACCATCTATTATTACCTGAAAATAGTGTAAACGAGGTAGCAAAGATTTAAGAGACTTTCTGTTATGTTGTGGATGTATCTCAGCAATTTCTTGATCAGTCATCATGGTCATCTGCTGAAACAACTCCACAATGTTTGCACCCATGTAAGAGTCAGGACCGTACCACACATTTAAGTTGGGTACTTCAGCAAATGCCTGCACATATGTGAAGTTTGAATTAAGTCAAATATTAAGAAGGGATTTTTTTTTTTTTTTTTTAAAGGTATTTTCCAAAATAACAAAGAGAAATAAAATAAAAGAAAAACAACCTGCAGAATAGTTTGCACAACATTAGAAGAAGTGCAGGTTATAGTTGGCACAAGCTCATGAGAATATGCTTTTGTCTCCAAAGCGGTATTAATGTAAACAACATGTAAAGAAGGAGAAGAAAGAGAAGCCGCCATTGCAAGGTAATCCATATATGCAGGACTGGCTGCAGCATCTGCCAAAGAACAACCAATGCGTTCATCAGACATCCGATAGACACCAACCTGCAAAGCAAAGATGTCAATATATGCCAAAAGTGTGAAACCATATCTCATTGCCCCATGTAATAAACTTCGGAAAACATAGTGTGTTTATACTACAACTTCAAAAGCTCCAAAACTAACATCATGATCCACCTTTCATCTGTAGTAATTGCAGTAAAGCAATATTGCAGAAAATTGGAAACAAGTAGAGAAATTTGCATCTACTTTTCTGTCAAAGAAAAAAAAATACTCCACTCAACATCTCAATAACAACACAAAGCAAGCCCCTTGATATAACATTGGATGAACTACTTAGCTAAACGAATCCTATTTCTCTATTAGCTCTATGTTACATATTATAGATTTATAGCACTCTATTCTCCAGTTCATATGAAATATGAAATAATTGCAAGGGGAGAATTCATTCGTTCAGATTCAAAAGCAATAGAAAGCATACCACAAAAATTGATAAGAATTCATGCTGAACTTACTAGGAAGTTATTTTCATAATTGCAAAAGATATTATTATATTAACAAGAATGAAGAAAGGTAGGGTATAGAGATGAAAAGTACCTCAGGAAATCCAGCCTGATCAAGGATTGCACGAACATTTTCTGACATAAAATCTACTCCAAGAACAGTGATATACTGACATCCAGCTTTTGCCATCTTAACAGCTGAATCTGCCATAACCAAGGAATCGGATATATGTATATGAGGCCACAGCTTCTGTGCTGCTGTTAAAACACCTTGGACCTCAGGATCCATGTAAAAATGTGCAACAATGCCAATTTTCTTTTCCTGTAGCAAATTGGCAATCTCTTGGACTTTTGAATCATCAGGAAACAGAAATCTGGCCTGCAATTACACTAAAATGAAACTTAGGCCTTTAAAATCTGGAATTTCTAAGATGGGAGTTACAGTAATTGCACCCTTGCTAAATATTTTCCCTCATTATATATTCTACCCAATTCACATAAAGTCTTGCTAAAAATAGATAGAGTTGAAACACATATTTTACTCCGTAATTATAATGAGATTTTCTCCAAAGCAAGCCAATTCTTTGTTTTTCTTTCTTGCTATATATCAAAAGCATGAGAACATTTTATTCTACAAGCACGCATCAAAATTCAAGGAACTACATAATTTGCATCATTGAATCAAGCATACTGCATACTTTTTGTTTTTTTTTTGTGTGTTTTTTGTTTTGGGGTGGGGAGGGGTGGTGTGTTCTTTGTCATTTGCAGTTTAAAAATTACCCATAAACAATACTGAAAACAGTCTGACAAATCTCAATATTTTGAGCAAAACGTTTCTCCATAGAATTTATTGGTTAAACAAATAGTTGTGAACATTTTTCCCTCACAAAATACTAACTTTTCTATTATTATCATCTAAAACTCGTCTCCTTATAATGTCTAATACTATTATTCTGCTGAGATCCCATTTATAATTATTTTTTTTTCTGCTGATATGTTTATTATTCATTTTGAGAGAAAAGCAGATGAAAACTGGGGACCTTGTTGTCTGGAGTAAGAAAGATGCTCTGGTTGTTTATAAAGGGCACAATTATCCGCTAGGGTTCAACGCTTCTCCAAAGAAACGTCGCAATCTGGACAGAATTCTTCATTGAGTGGTGGTGGTGAAGAGGAGAGTGTATCAATTGATGGATCACTCTATGAAAGAGAAGCTGACAGATTACTCTTTTAGCATGTTTTTGTCCTTGCATTATGAATAGGCAGAATGCAAATGAATGATGTAAAAAAAAATTCAAAAGTCTAAAATTTCTGGGTTGCTTAAAAAATGACAAGTAATGGAGTTTAATGAAATCCTCTGGTTTTTATACAGAGACTCACTGGAGGAATTATTCTATTACGTAATAAATTCCGTATAATTCCATATCGAGGAGGGAAGGACTTTCTTCCTTCTCAAGTGGCAGAGCGAGAAGCATTACTTATGAGACATCAATTTCATGAAGAATCTGCTGGGCTAGAAACAACTGAAATCTTATGAAACTTCAGTGAACTCTGACATACTTGGAACTTTGTCAGAATTCCAGCTTATCACAGGTTATGCAAAACAGGAAGTTAGAAATGTTGAGGTGAAGATTCAGATGGAGACTCAAAAAGCTAGATTGGAAAAAGAAGTGAGAAATCAAGAGTGGAAGCTTTTCATAGTAAGATATTACCAAATCCATACCTCCCATTTATGGTCCTGGGTAGGATTCGAACCAAGCACGTTTATGATCTTATTTTGGGTTGGCTGATCAGTTGAACTTTTGTTAATAAAGTGTGTGCAAGTGATCCAAACAACTTCATAATCAACACTAATCATGGATTAATTTTGCATCAGAATAACTCCCAACCATGACATGGACAATTAAATAATCAGTACTCGTGATCTAAAATTATCAAAAAGTAATCTGTGACAAAAATTTCAGAGACAGGCTAAAATACTGAATAACAAAACCAAGAAATGAAGAGAAAAGGCAAAAGATCACCTGAGCTTCAGCATAGCTTCCTTTGGCACTTATACCTTCAGCAGTGACTACCAGAGATGGGAATGGCTCACTTCGCATCCTGCCCTCCATTTCAGCCACCAAAGCTTTTGTCCTCTTCTGCATACTCATCAACACATTATGCCAAGTATTCACCCGAGAAGAAGACACCATTTTTCCATTTAAGCCCATCACATTCAGAGCACCCAAATCCTCTGTTTTCATGGCGAGAACCTCCTCCGGAGCTGCCCCATCGAGCATCCAAACCAAGCAGGCACAGAACCCTTTGGTAATTTCCGAATCGCTATCCGCAAAGAACCTAACTTTATTCTCCCCATCTAACCTCACATGCAGCCACACCTGGGCGGTACACCCGGGCACCCGATTCTCCATGGTTTTCAGTGAGTCCTCCATGGGAGGCAGCAAAGAGGAGTAGTGCAAGAGGCGCTTCACGCGGTCGATCGGCTCCGCGAGAGACTGGAATTCCGATGCAAGGAGCTGGAGCTTCGCCGGAGCAAGGTGGCTCGGGGGGCAGGTCTGTGATTCCGTCTCGGATGTTAAGGCAGCGCAAGAAAACTCCGGATTCCGGGGGCTCCGGAGAACGAATTTGGGAAATGATGAGGAGGAGTTGAGATCCATTTTTGACGGATTTCTGGTTTGGGTCCATTTCACAGAGAGTCTGGAGAAAGGCGAGGAGCTGGGACTGAAAGTGGCAATGGATTTAAAAAGGAAAGATGAGGAAGAGCAAGAAGCTTTCATGGCTACCACTGCGGCGTCCATAGAGAGGCAATGAAGGAAGAAGAGGTGCGGCGGCGGCGGTGGTTATGGGGGAGAGAGGCGGCTGGGGTGCAGAGAGGAGTGGAGGAAATTCGTAGGAAGGAAAGAGGACCTTAAGAAGCGCGAAAAGGCATACCAAAAAGAATGGTAGTGAATATACTTCCAATTATTTACTCCGTATTATTTATTCTGCACTTTATCCCCTGCCTGGCCTACAAATCTTACAAAAATAAACAAACAAATTAAATTGGAAGAAGTATTTTCTCCAAATAATAATAATATAATAATAGGACCCGAAAAAGCTAAATAAACATTTCCTTCAGAATTCCTAATGGTCGTTTACTTCATTTTTCTGTTTTTCAATTCCAATTTTCTATTTTCTCATTTTTTCAGTTTTTATTATCCATTACTCTAGTTTTCTATTTCTCCATTCCTCTAGTTTTTTATTTTTCTAGTTTTGTGATTTTATTAAATACAATCATCTTATATACCATTTGTATATTTATACAACAAAGATAATAATAATCATCATAATCATAATAATAACAACAACAATAATACCAAGACTATGTGGTATAATGGTACATGAGTTGGACTTCCGTTTGAAAGGTTGTGAGTTTGAGTCTCAGTATACTACATCAGGCGTCACCAGCAGGATTCAATGCTTGGACCTCAACGCCAGCCAATGTTGATTTTTCTCAATTTCTCCATTTTTCTGAAAAATTCTCCAATGTTGATTTTTCTAAACTTCTCTATTTTTTATTTTTTCCACTTCTCAATTTCTCAATTTTTCTGGAAAATTCTCCATTTTTTCAAGTTGGTAAACGACCCCTAATTCTCTCGAAACCTCTCTTTCTGTTTAACAAAATTTTAGCTTCTTTTTTGGGCGTTTCTTTATCTGGTGGCCGCCGGCCTCTGGCCGAAGCTTTGAGCCTTTGACGGAGCTTCGTTTATTGGCCGGCGGTCTCCTGTTTTCTTTTGTTTTTTGTTTTTTAGTTTCATAATAAAGTTCGCTGCCGATTCAGCCGCCAACCCTTCAAGGAAGTTGCGGTAGGTTCAAAAATCTAAATATTAAGGATTTCGCCAGATCGGAATAAAGAAGTGGTATGATTCCCGTGGATCCGTAAAATAAAGTTTAAGAGGTGTATTGCTGCTTCTCTTTTCTTTTGTGTTCTGTTTTTTTTTTTTCTGTGTTTTTCTCTCGTTTGTGGGACGAGTTTGTTTTCCTCTCGTTTCTTTTGGCGAGTTTGTTTTTCTCTCGTTTCTTTTGGCGAGTTCTTTTTTTTCATAAGTGTGAAACATATAAGTTAGTCATGGCGTATATGGACTTCATTCTGGGTGACAAAGATGACCATGTAAAAGAGCATCTCCATCTCAACTCGATGGATATATTGTCAATAAATGACAGATGGAAAACATATACTCAGGTGGTGTGCAAGATTTATCAACCAAAGTTAGTCTTGATTACGTTTGATCAATTTTTCAATGATATTAAAGAAGCACTAAATTCATCTAACGAATTCAACTTTAAATTTGTTAAACAATCTGCAATTCAAGTTCTTTGTAGCATTGCTAGGGAAGTTTTTTCTGTCTGACTATAAAGAATAGTATATTGTTCCATCGATTATATTTGTAATTGTTTCAGCTTATGATTAAATGAATGAGCTTCTTTATTAAATATATATATATATATATATATATATATATATATATATATATATATATATATATATATATATATATATATGACCCGTTGGCTAGGGGAAGAATTTTTCCAGATTTTAAAAATTTGAAGAATAGAAATGAGAAAACATGTTTTCTAGCACAATTTTTCATTTAAAAATAAAATAAAATAAAATACATTTTCCAGACTTTTAAAAATTGTACTATTTTTTAAATGAAAAATAGAATATATTTGGCTATATATATCACTATAACCACATTCTCACCATTATTTACTTACATATTTATTCATGGATAACATTTGTGTGAGACCGTCTCACGATGACTGGGTCAAATCTTTGATTAATGGCTCGGATCTTTGACCTCATTAATCAAAGATCCGACCCGAGACCCGTGAGACGGTCTCACACAAGTTTTTGCTTTAATTCATTATTATGATTACATTCATTATCATCTTATTTTACTTATCATCATATTTTATCTTTTCTACTTGCATTTATTATATAAACATAACTTATTTGCTTACCCTTAAAGTTAGATATTTTTTCACATTATCAAATTTAAATTTGAACTCTACACCAAGTTTTAGATTTTGATTGAACTCAATAGATTATTGGTTCATATATTTTTGGTTATGCTATATCGTAATACAAGTTTGGTCCGAATATCGAGTATTGAAATTTCACATATATTAAATTTTAAAGTAAACATTATGTATATACATGTTATTCAAAAGAATATATTCAAAAATATTTTAAATATTAGTTCAAAGAATATTAATATTATCTAAACTAAATTTTATGTGAACTTAATAGGTTATTGGTTCGAATATATTTTTAGTTATGTTATATACGAATATAAATTTGATTCGGATATCAAATATAAAAATCTTAAATATATTAGACTTAAAAATAAAAATTAATCAATCTGGCCCGCACTTTTTTTTTATTATTATAAAGGAAGGGGATACCCACATATACAAGCTACTACATCAGATGTCACCATAATCGCCTCCACCGAGGCCCGAACCCACTGCATAGGGGAGCAACTTGATACGCATTAATTGGGCTAACACGGTGCGAATGTTGATTAGACCGAGTATAATACGGGTTTAAAGATATATTCTACAGTTATGGCCTGCTCAGGACACCTCATGGTCTGACAAAAAAAAATTATATTTCTTTCATTTAAACCAAACATATTCAAAAATATTTTAAATTTAAGATCTAAGCTAAGACCTTGTGGTCTAATGGCATTAAGGTTGGATTCCTATATGGGAGGTTATGAGTTTGGGCTTCAGTGGAGGCGGTATTGACTCTTGAACATATATTACAGTTTGTGGTCTTCGTGGAGGCTATCCTTAAAAGGAGTTGAAAGTGTTAGCTAAAATTAGTTTTTTGATAAAAGCTGATAAATGTAAAGAGACAAAAAATGACATCTTCATAAAATTTAAATTTGTTTGTTTATATATTAAACTTTTAACATTTTGTCATCAAAAAAAAAAAAAAAAAATTAACATTTTCATATAAATTTATTAGCATAATCATGATCTATCATCCCATAATAAAATAACAATATTGTTGCAAATCTCCTTCATATAATAATAATAATAATAATAATAATAATAATAATAATAATAATAATAATAATAATAATAATAATAATAATTTCAAGCATAAGAGTCAGCTAATAATAATAATAATAATAATAATAATAATAATAATAATAACACTTTCAAACATAACAGCTAGTTTAACATCTCTTCAGTTTTCAGTTCCTAGCTTATAGCTTTTCAGCTCTTTTTAAGCTTTCAGCTACCTTTTCAGCTAGGTTTGCCAAATATAGCTTTAAGGTATCGTTCCAAAATAAGCTCTTATTTTAAGTTATGAGTTTATTTTGGGAATATTACCAAACAGAGCTTATAACTTATTAGTAGCTTAAAAGAGCGAAATGCCCTTATATTCAATGATATTTAAACTATTTTGTTGATAGAGGACAAAAAATAATCATTCTACAATAATACTAGGACCAAAAAAGGATGTTTAAAAAAAAAAGAATTAAAACTGGATTGTTACCTATAAATGCAGGACCAAATAAGGAATTAAGTCTAAATTTTTTAAACATAAAACAGAGAATGAAAACTAAAAAAAATAAAAAATAGAAAACAATTTATTGAAGTAAACGGGTATTACTCATTTAGTCATTTTTCCAATTCCATATTTATGATTGTGATTTATTAGCATCGAATCTGAAAAAGAGGATTTAAAAAGAAGATTATTCTGTGGTCCCAAATTCACTCTCATCTGTAATTGACTTTTGTATTATCTTTCCTTACTGCTCAAAAAGGGCAAGTAATGACCAACGATGTCGTAATTTCTTGACTAGAATCGAGTTCCATTCAGCATCATAACGAGAAAAATTAAATTGAGTTTTTTGTGGATCCAATTATAAAAATTAAAAATAAAAAGAAAATTGCTCAAAGTGGTTTGTTGAGTTGGTGGTTATCCTGTCGCACAATGAATTTGCACGTTGGGCGTTACTGGTGCACACAACGTACATTTCTTTTGCAAGTCTCACAAAAAAAAAAAAAAAAAAAATCACCACAACTTTTAACGCATCCCCAATTCCCACAACAGTTTTTGGGAGTTTTTTTTAGATAAAAGGAGAGGAGGAAGAAGAAAATTATAGAGATAATAAAAAGCCAAAACATGCAAAATTAATCATAGTAAATCTGATGTCACGTACAATGAACCTGAGTTAGGGATGGCAACGGAGCAGGAAGCGGGGTCCTCGTCCTCGTCTCCAAAATAGATCCTCATTCCTAAAACTGGTCCCATTTTTCGGCGGGGACCGGCAGAAAATTTTTCGGGGACGAGAAACCCCGCCTCATTTTTTTAATGATGCCAATGAAAAAAAATCAAAAAATTGGAAAGAATTGACTTAAAATATTTATAAATTAACTCATGTCTGCAGGCTCAACCAAAACAAGAGAAAAGTATGCACATCACGGAGATGAATTCACTAGCATTTCAACCTAAATATTATGGTGCGTTTGGAAACCCGGAAAATATTTTTCGAGTTTTCAATGTTTAGCCAGAGGAGGAAAAATAAGGTCAATGGAAAATGATGCATTAGTCAAAGGAAAATATGTATGTTTTGGGTGAAAATGACTTCCTCTTTTTTTGGGGAGAAGTCATTTTTCAAGAGATGCACATGCAAAAAATTTTGGGCCTAATTTTTTACGGACTTTTGCGAGTCGGCCCACCAAACTCGCAGGTTAGGGTTCATGCAACCAAAGCCCGCCCATGCAGGTTGGTGGGCCCCGCGGGCCGATCCTCGAATTTTTTTTTTTGAATTCAAAGTTCAAAAAAATAAGTAAAGTCTACAAATAATATTAATTTTTTTGTATTTGAAAATAAAAAAAAAAGTTACTTTCTTTAAAATGTTAATATATATA